AGATTCCCTTCCCCCTCCCTTTAACAATTTGCTTGATAATATAGCAGCTGACAACAGTCCAACTGGGGTATTACACATGCTTTAAATAAAAACAAAAGGAACCACTGCTGCAGTGCTGTTTTATTTTCTTTTTATATACAAATCTCAGTCAGCAAAGCTGAAGATAAATCTATGAATGGAGTGGCAGTGTAAAGGAGTCTGTACACACATAGCCTGTGTACAGACAATAGATATTTCCATGGACTTGAGATGTGGCATTGGTAAAAAACATTGTTGCCCACTGCACACATTCTTATTTTGTTGTTGTACATCATTGTTCCTGGTAAAACTTGTTGGCAGGTTTTTGCCGCTCTAATATGCATAATTGGTTTTATTAACTGTTTAGTGTGGCGCTTACTGGATAGCGCTTATGAGAAGTAATATGGCGTCTTCTCTTTGCTCTCGCGCTGTGATGTCTGACTCAGTTTTATAAGTATTGGGGGTTTAATAATAATATTTAATAAACATGATATTGAAGGATAGGTGAATATTTTCAAACATGCTCATTTGGCCCTTTAAAAGGGTTGGGGATGAAAAAGTTTCCTTCCAGAGTGAAACTGAGTAGACCAGAAGCTTCTTGCATCTACACTAGTCAGTTCCAATACCGTACTAGTTTGTGTGGGATTAGTGGAAGTGTTTGTTTGCAACAATCTTTTCCTGTTGACAGCAACTGAAGGGGCTGGGTATAGGTAAAGGTAAAAGATAAAGGACCCCTGGACAGTTAAGTCCAGTCAAAGGCAACTGTGGGGTTGTTGCACTCATCTTACTTTCGGGCTGAGGGAGCCGGCGTTTGTCCACAGACAGCTTTCTGGGTCATGTGGCCAGCATGACTAAACTGCTTCTGACGCAACGGGACACTGTGACAGAAACCAGAGCGCACAGAAACATCATTTACTTTCCCACCACAGTGGTACCTATTTATCTACTTGCACTGGCGTTCTTTCGAACTGCTAGGTTGGCAGGAGCTGGGACAGAGCTCACCCTGTCAGAGATTCGAACCATCGAACATCTGATCGGCAAGCCCAAGAGGCTCAGTGGTTTAGACCACAGCACCACCCACATTTGGTACAGCGCATCACTGTGCATGGAAATACAATTCTCATATACACCCCACAGTCAGTGAGACAGTGCACAAACTATCAGGTATGGAGAGCAAGTTTTGCTACAGCTGAGTTCTCCTAAGTGTAGGGCTTTCTTTTATTAAGTGTGTATCCAATCATGTCATTTTAGCTGTGTAGCTGCAGTTTGTACTCTCTTGTATTGGACACTCACAATAGCAGAGAATGATGGAGCGTTGAGAACTAGCTCTGATAAATAGAGATGTGTGAGGAATAAATTAAGAACCCAACAGCCCCATTCCGTTCATGGCTATTCAGGCATAAGTCCAACTGATTGCAGTGGGATTTACAATCTAGCAATTATGTTTAGGGTTGCTTCATCATATTTCTGCCCAGGTTCCCAATGTATGTTTCAGGGTTGACCATATATCAGGCTCGATGCAGACTAAGTCAGATGCTTCAATTCCATTCTAAGGATGTAAGATAGTGATGAAATCAGTGTGACTTAAGTTTGTCAACAGGATGTAAAGGGGACTAGCTGGATCCAATCCAGTGTAGTATAATATAGAATTATCTTCTTGGTTTACAGGAGTGTAATCATTTACATGCTTGCTTGGAAATAGCTAGCACTGAACTTGAACCACCTCAAACACAGTGTTGTTCTATACATGCCTACTCATAAGTAAATCTTGCTGAATTCAATATGGCAGAGCATGTTTTCCTGCCAGATTCTCCCATGAAGACACTGGCTGAATCATACCCAGCAGGTTTGATAGAAAAAAAATCCTGCAAAACTGGACATGTTGCAATAAGGAACGTCAGAAGAAGATGCACTGGAAAGTGCGGGGTAACAATTACTTGGTGCAACATCATATATCCTCCCTGCACACAAATCAGAATGAAATCCTCAAGAAACAACTGGAGATGTCTAAGCTTCCTGCAAACTTTGTGCAAAGAAAACTGGATGAAAGCTCAGGAAACAGACCACCTGGATGCAACCCTTTGCATGCAAATTCCTTCTAAGGTAGGGATCCACTTGCAGGGATTGAATTTAGTGGAACTTATTTTCAAGCAAATACATAGCAGTCAAGTGTCCCTTATTTGAAGGGACAGTCCCTTATTCCAGTGCCATGTCCCGCTGCTGTCCCTTATTGATGGATGTCCCTTAAATGTCCCTTAAATGATGTCCCTTAAATTTCAAAGGAAGCAGCTCCTCTCCCTCCCTCCCTGCCGGCCGGCCAGGGAGGAGGGAGGCTCAAACTGTGTTGCTTGGCTGAGTTGTTCACCCAATAAGAAGTCTAAGAACGACTGGGGGGTGGAGCTTCCATGCCTTGTGTGTGGCTAGTTAATGCAAGCTGAGGGGGTTTTTGAATGCTGGACGCCATTTTGTTGCACGTGCTGCTGCAAACTTTGGAGTGCAAAGCCAGGCTGGGGAGCCATCTTAAGTTGAGGCTGCATAGGCCTTGTGGTGCATGTGATTAAGATTCTATTCAGCTGAACCTCTGGTTACAAAGCTGGTTGGACAGTGTTCTCGAAGCTACCAGCATGAGTTTGACCAGACTGCAGGAGGACAGGAAGACTGGAGTACCTGGAACAGGTGAGGCTGCAGGTCCCTTATTCTGGCTGCTGGCTCCTTTTCAAGGCTGCTGGTCCCTTATTTTCAAATATGTAAGTTGACAGCTATGCAAATAGGCATAGGATCAGACTCTTCAGTTTCACAAGCCAGCAGCATCCTGAGTCAGTGACCCAAACGCTACTCCCAGCAATCCACATCTGAAGTATATGGCTCACTATTTGGCTAAGCCAGGCTGCAATGGATATATTGTAGATCTCGAAAAGTTCACCCAAAGTGGGAGTGACTGGTTTTTAATTTTGAACCTCCTAAAAGAAACACACAGTCTCGCCAAAGCATCTCTCCAGGAGCCGTTTTCAGCCCTGAATGCCTGCTTCCCATTCTTTCGCCTCTTTTGGGAGGGACTTTCCTGATGCGTGTTGTGCTTTAGCGTGCGCTTTTTGGGTGGAAATAATAATGAGAATTAAAAATCCCGCAGCCCCTTTTCTTGGAGGTGTTGCAAAGGTCCTCTCTAGGGGAACCCTCTCTCCAGCTTTCAAAATACAGGCAAAACCCTCAACCCCGTCTTGAGGTGCTTCACCAGTGCCTTGGGTAGTAGTGGCAGCGGCAAGTATTGTTATTTAAAGAGACAGGCAGGCTTTTCCCCTCCTTCTTTCCCTGGCTTGACTTTGCTTCTGAAGCGGCAGCTACCGTGCTGCTGCTGCTGCTGTTTTCACGGGTAACTTTGAGAAGAGTCTGCAAACAGGGGAGAAGGCTGAGAAATGCGATCGCTGAGCGCCCCCACCTCCTTTCCTCCTCCTCCTCTTCCTCCTCCTTTCCCTAGGTTTTAGCAGCAGCAGCAGCAGCAGCGTTGCTGTAAAAGCGCTCTGCTCTCTGCGATAGCCAGCAGAGGGAAGCGGGGCTTTGCTTGCAGCAGGGGCTGGAGCGAGCCTTCTTGGAGGAAATACTGCAGCCTTCTGGACTGCGTCTGCTTCTCGAGGGAGAGGCTGGCCGTGGAGTTCCACCCACCGGCTGGAGGGAAAGAAGGAGGGGTGGGGGTTTGAATGAAAGGCAAGGCGAGACCTTAAACACCATGCCGCTCCGCAAGGGAGGCAGCAGCAACTAGGCTCTCGCAAGCCAAGGCGCCTTTTTTTTTTTTTTGCTTTCCCCCTTTTTCTTTTTCTTCCCCCCTTTCCCCCCAACAAACAAACAAAAAACCCTCTCCCGCCCCCTTTTTGGCAAAAAAAAAAAGAGGGGGGAAAAAGGTGGAGGGAGAAGGATCTGCGAGGACGCTGATCTGCAGAGATCCTGAGTTTTAACCCGGTCTTCCTGATTTCTCCAACCGGAATCCCCCCTCCTCCTCCCCCCCCCGCGCACCTTTTCCAGACTTGGCAATTGACATTACTTCAAACCAAAGCGGGTGGGAGGCAGGAAAACCCTGCTGTGTGGGGAGGAGGGGTGGAAAGAAGAGCGCAACAATATATTTACATCTCTCTAGCTATAAATTCTTCCTTCTGCAATTTTTTCCCTTCTTCATTTTTAATTATTTTTTTTTAAAAAAAACACAAAAACCTTTTCCCCCACCTTTTTTCTTTTTCTTTTTTGCTTCTTGCTGTGTTTGGAACTAGCGAGCGGTTTAGAAGGCAAGGAAGTCTGGACACAAAAAAAGAAAAGAAAAAAGAGCGCCTCTCACCAGTCATCCGTACTGTCAGGAATAGTGGGGTTTTAAGCGGAAGAAAGGCCTGAGGCTCTACAGTCTTGTCAACGAGTTTCCCTGCATCGGAGATAAAGATTCCAGCTACATGGGCAAACGCTTGGAACAGCAACCAATGTACCCTCAGTACACTTACTATTACCCTCATTATCTCCAAACCAAGGTACGTGGTGGGTGTACTTGCTAGCAGGACTTCCTGGGGTTCTCCAGCAGCGTCGATATGATACCATTAGGCACTTAGTGGATGATGGATAGTTGATTGGCGTAAATTACAGGCATGCTTGCTTCCTTCCTTCCTTCCTCTCTCTCTCTCTCTGTCTCTCTCTCTCTTTGAATCATGAAGGAGTAGAACTAATGCCCAACAAATGCAGCCAAAGGAGAGAAAACATTATTATTATTAATACTGGCAATGACAATCAATGGAACTAGCAAGGTCAGAATGGATTTAACAATCTGCTGTGTGTTAAAAGCAAAAAAGAAGGGGGGGAAAGGTTTTGTTTAGTCGAGATCTTTTTATTTGTGCTTGTGGGTGGGAGCGAAGGTGTACGTGTGTGTGTGTATAGACACACACATTATTTTAATTAAAATGAACCAGCAGTACCCAGGTAGCACCCTCATTACGCGACAGGAACTGTCTGGATAGTGTCAGCCCTGCGCCTGGTGGGTTTAAGGGGACTTTGGAAGGTGATCTGAGCTTGTGTGCGTTTGGAGTGGTAAAAGCATTTTTTTGCTGTTAGGAGAGGCATTGTGGGCACTCCCAACTTTTAATTTGACACACATGTGAAAGCCCGGCCGGGGTTAAGGGAGGGCAGAGAGATGACCTAATAAAATCCTTGGGAGTTTTTGTGCTTGCCGGTCTGAGGTTCTATTAAACATTGATAATGGGATGAGCATGCACTGTGTTGTATTTGAAAGGTTTGCAAATAAGTGCTCGCTACTTATAAAAAGAAAGCAGGAACCCTGGTTGAGGTGTCTTTCTCAGTTTGTGTTTTACGTGTGTGTGTGTGTGTGTGTGTGTGTGTGCATCAAATAGCAAGTCCGGCCTTTATCTGCTAGTAAGACTGAACTGCACCCCACCACAAAATGAATTAAATAGTGCATTGTATATATTTTTTCTATTGCTGCTGCTTAGTTCTATTCCCGGTAACCTATATTATTAGTGAACTTTCCAAAATACGGCTATGCCTCTCACCCTCCCACACATGCTCGCAAACATGAATCATTTTCATGCCATCTTTTGAAAAATTGCTACCTCAAAGTTTGACCTCAGAATTGCTGATTAACATATGTGAACGCTTTTCCGGGAGAATACAAACTTGTAATACGTTTGACGAGCCAGTTGAAACACATGGGGTGCAATGCTTTTTTTGGGGGGGGGTGACTGAGCATTCGGTGCTTTTCGTTCTGGGTGTGGCAAGATCATCACGGTTTTCTGTTGCTGTGTTCACTTTTACCACTTCTGGAATCACTTTTCAGTTTGGATTTATCGTTTGACCTCTCAGGATATGAAATGACCAGTCTTGAGCAACAAGCGTGTAGTTAGGTATCTGACGCTCACAAGGATGTGTGATGAGAACCTTTTTCGTTTCTAACCTGGGTACCACTAATTTGGTATACTGCAGTACTTGAGGAATCTTTGTGCCACATCAAGCCCTTTTTGAACAATTGTTGTCACTTTTTCTCCTTCTCAAGGTCGATTCAAATTGCATTTTACCTCTGTGACGATTTGGTATATATTGCTGCTACTACTGCTGCTGCTGCTGCTTCAGAGAAGCCTGTAGCTAGTTTGACTGCTATACAGTATTGTCTATAGTTTTAACTGTTTGGAGGAATTGGTATGAGACACATGGCATTCCTCAAAACCTGGCAAGCGAAGGACAGGGAACAATTTATAGGGATTTTGTTGTTGTTGTTGAAAGAACAATAGCTTCAAGTACTTGATGAGGCATTCCATGCCTTTTACTGATGTAGTTGAAATGAAGCCACTCTTCCTGTTCTGGAACTCCTTGTTTCTACTTTGCAAAATACGCTTTGGGGAAAGCCTAACCTTGTGGATGGGTCAAAAATAATAACAGCCATTCATTTGTACAGGGACATTTTTTTTAAAAGGGCTCTCTTAAAGTATACCTTGAGGATGCCAATATTCTTTCAAAGCATTTGGCATTAAAAAAAATTGGTTAGAGGCATTAAAATATGGATTAGCAATAGAGTATATAACACTGTATAAATGAATATTATTTTTAAAACATGCTTTTTTCTTCTTTATTGCTGTTGGATTAGGTGGGTACATTCATAAATATAGACATTGTTACAAGCTGTTCAGGGTTCTAGTGAAAAAACCTTAACACAGAGCGTTAGGTTTTCTTTTACTTCATGTGTGTTAGTAGCTACACACATGTGTTTGTTCATGAACACACACAAACAAGAGCCAAACAAATGTACATAATGGATATACAATACAATGAATACACATACACGTTTCTGCGGTATCTTACTAAAGATTTTAAAGCAGTGCAGACAGGCAATGTCTGGCTATCTTTTCCTTGAAGCTATTCGTCAGATTATGGGACTTTAAAAAAAAAATAGAGCAATCATTTCTGTCAGACTAATATTTTGGTAACCAAATAACTGTAAAAGTGATCATTATCACAGAAATAGATAATAATGTATTGCCAAATTACTTCATCCATACCAGGAATATCACTATTAATATTGAGGGAACTCAACAAAATGATATAATCAGAATGTGCACCGATATGAACTCCCATTTGAAAATCAATACATAGGTTAGTGGCAGTGCAGTTATTAGAAATTACAGAGAGCTGCAAGATATTAATGTGTAACACATGAAGCACTCATAATGTGGCTTGCCTTTTTCAATACAGTATATCTTCGATGTTTTCCTCCAGGTTTTTTATTTATTTAATCTTCACAGTTTGAAAGCTGCCATTATAAACATACTTGCAAGTGCATAAGCCCCACTGACCACAATGGGGCTTACTTTCAAGTAAACATGAATAAGGTTGCACTGCACATTTACAGTGTAAATGGGCACTGGCTCTGTTGTTTTTAAAGTATTCTTATATGGTGCCCAGATGAGATGTTGACTTCAGGATTTGTTACAAAATTAATGTCTGCCTTTTTCTACACACTTAAGCCATTGTTATCAGATGGGTCGCCTATCCTAGACATTCTGCAGAATACGGAATGCATGCAGTTGGGTTTGAGTTCCTGAAATAAAATGTTTTGTGTTAGAATATAAATGTTAGGTTTGGGCAAACTCATCCTAATCGGATATAAAGATCATGTGTTTTTTTCAAAAATGTCTCTCCTTTCCACACGTTAGTGAAAATGTCATGTAATTTCTTCTTTCTGATGGGGAATTGTCCATGCTAATTTAGATTGAAATTATAGCAGCATTTGTAGACAAATCTTCATCCCCAGACTAGTTATTTCAGGCATGCTATGAATCTAAGTCCATCCAAACACATTTTGCTTCCATAGTAAAATAGAATATATGGCCTTAGACTGCAAAACTATATTTTAAAAGGGATTCATGCTCATCACACAAAAACAGGATGATTTACTGTATGCTTGGAACTCATGCTAAAAATATATATGTTATTGCTGTGGGTTATGTGCTGTTAACATAATTAATAAAATTAAGGGATTGTTTCGCTCTCTAGCACAAATCATTGCTAACAATGAGAAGAAAGAGGTGTCCCTTCTGTTTGGTGGCTTGTGTTTGAGATGAAAGAATTTGGCATTTATATATTGGAAACAATTCTACCAAAGCTCGTTATTGGAGTTGAATCCGTTCTGTTTTCTTCACTTGGGAGTAACTATTTTCAGCAGTGTGTCAATTCAGCAGTGGTGTTTCGGTTCAGATGGTTATATGTGAATGGTTATTGGCTTAATAATTTGAAGCCTGGATGAAACATTGGCCATTAGTGTAGTCCTGCTCACCTGTACGTTCAGATCAGCTGTGTTGGGTTTTCAATTCTAGCCTATTGTCTGCTTTGGGAAAATTTTGAATGTTGTCTTAAGTCACATGGCATTTTGTTGTGCTTTCGGATGAAACAACTGCAACTTCAGAAAGAAGCTGTGTGCAATACAGTGAAACAGATGTATAGGTTGTAATCATGTCATGGGAACAAATGTATTGCAAAGATGTTATTTCAATGACACGAATGTGGATATTGTATGCAGCATTGAGATTTTATTTCTTTGGAACCCTAAGACTCTGAAAAGCAACCCCAATAGGCACATAAGCAGCAAATGGAAGATAGAGATTGCTTTGTATATCACTGCTGAGAATTTTTGTGTGGCTACTTTTGCTTATCCCTAAATCACCTCCAGTAGCTATGAGTTTATAGGAGGGAGATCACCAGAAATGTGTGTAGAATTCTGAGAAATGTAAAAGGTGTTTTTCCCAAAACAGGTTGCTTTTTTAAAAAGCATTTTAAAGTCACTGTTTTACATAAAATGAACTGCCCCTTGTGCAAACTTGCAAGAGCTCCCCACTTTTAAGAACAATAACGACCATGCACCATTAAAAAAAATATACCACAAAACTAACCACCCTCCTGCTTTCTTTCCCCCCATCTAACTAATCAAGTGCTCGTTTCTCAGTTTACTGCATTTCCCCCTGTTTTGGCCATCTGGCTTTACCAAATGCCTTGAGGAGAGACTTCCAGATACTAAGATGCCTGAAAAAGCTTTTCCCCCCTCTTCTGACTGGTAGTGTTCAGCTAGTGTGTTGGTGCCTGGTGTGAAGTAGGGGTCAGGTGTAAGGAGTATTTCATCAACCGCACACTGATTTCAGGCTGCATTTCAAACCATCTGCAGCTTGGATAGCCGCCAGGGCTCAAAAGTCTTGCTGGAGCTTATAGTGCCAAAGTAGAGGCAAATGTGTGCAAATAGAGAGAAATGCATTTCCAGGAATGAAGTTGGTATTCACTTAAGTCCTTGTTTGGGTTGATAAATGGTAGCATTTCTGTCTCTCTCTCTTCTCCCCACCTCCCACCCCTCTCAATGTCTCGCAAAGCTGCCAGAGCAGCAACCTTTTATTAAAATACATGGATAATAATGGATTGACCTTTGATTGTAGTAAAGTTTTTGGATTAACATCCAGCCTTGGCACAATGCCATCATTTTTGATATGGAATAGGAAAGCATGAAATTTGTTTCCCTTAGAAACTGAGAAATGCAGACTTGTCCAACATAATTTTCGCATACTTACTGGCTTAAAATTATTTCTGTTGATATCAAGGGCACGGCATGTTTGAATCATGTTTTGATGATTCTTTCAGGTTGTTGTGCATGAGAAGCTGCATTTTCCCCTCGCCTCCAAACCCCAGTCAACTTTATACTCCTATGCCTGCCATAGGGCTGTGCTTTATAAAACACGCAAATGGTTTTGCCCCCTGAAAAAAAGATGCACGTGTACACATTCGCCAAATCAGGTCTTGAAGTTCAGAGGATAAAGATCTTGCTAAAGCAAATACCCAGTATTAATATTTGTTGATGCATAGCAGCATATTACACATAGCATAGTTAAAGAGTCAACAGCCGCTTTAATTCCGAGAATGTGCCCTGATTTGCATGAAAAGCAGATGAGAAAGAGCACCTTGGGTTCACTTTGGGTCTCATTGTAACAGGCAATGGACAACATTAACTTTGAAATGATAGGATGTCTTCTAGTCTAGCTTTGCGTTAGTCGTACTTCTGGAAGGGAGTTTCAAGTTCATACACAACCCCGATCTAAGTCCATCATGGGAAAATACAAGTAGTCATTCAAAAGAGGTACACAGAGCTGTGAATGCGCTTTAAGCTCTCTCTTGTGGCTAGTCGATGATGTGGCTACTGGCTGGCTGTTCCATTCCCTCCTGTTGGTGGAACCAAGTATCTTACGCCTCTTTTTCTAGGGTAGGATGCTTCCATCTCAAGCAATAGGTGTGGGGTGCTTTTTTCCTCTAGCAATAAACTCTAGGAGCTTTTAGCTTATTTATTGTCTGCTTTGTAGCAGCTCTCTAAGGCAGCTGATGCTCTCCAGATGTTGGTTGGACTCAGCAAGCATGACTTGTGGTCAAGTATGATAGGTGTCCTATTGCAACATTCGCTATGGGCACCACCTTGGCTGTAGCCCAGCTCTAGGGTCTCGCCACAAAGTTCTTTCACATTACCTGCTACTTGAGGTGTTAGTGGATAGAGGAAACCAAGATCTTCTCCATCACAAGTATACAGAAGGTTCCAGGGATGTTCATGTGAACACACACAGTAGGATGAAGAGGCAGCAGCAGTGGTGGCAAGGGGACAGGTGAGCAAATGTACTTGGTTTCAAGTGTTACTCTGATATACTGCAGTCACATACACTTAAAAAAACACATGCGTTCAAGATTGTGGGCCCAGTTCTGTGGAGCTCATTTGTGGCTGAGATCAGACGTATCCCCTTCCTGCTGAACTTCAGGCACTTGATGAAGCCTTTTTTTTTAATTTCAGCAGGTATTTAAAGATGGGTTTTCTAATTTTAGTTAATTTTCTAAATTTAGTTAATTTAAACTGAGCGTATCTTTTGTGACCTCATTGTACACTACTGAGACTGCTGTGTTACTTGCGGAAGCAAGTAGATAACTAAATAACTAAATACAGTGGACCCTCCGGATACAAACTTAATTTGTTCTGGGGGTCCGTACGTACCCTGTAAAGTCCACATCTAGAGGCGCCACTTCTGAGCACATGCGCGGCACAATAGAGCGCTTCTGCACATGCACACGTGGCAAAACCTGGAAGTATACACTTCCGGGTTTGCCGCATTCGCAACCCAAAAGTTACGTTACCCGAAGGTTACGTAACCTGAGGGTCCACTGTAACAGAATTCAATGCGTGCTCATGGTGTGTTCATAACCTCATGCACATCGGTGTTCTTTCCAAGTTATCACAAATTGATACTCCATTTCAAGCAACAACAACTGGTGTCCGCCCTGTCACACCCACCCCACCCCATGATGAAAACACTGCTAATGGTTATAGGGGTAAATAATAGCAAAAGTTTCGCCAGAATTTGCTGAGTTTTTAAAAACCCTTTTTGTTTTCTAAGAGTTCTCATAAGCTGCAGCTGTGTGCGATTAAATGCAGTAATATCAAAAGCATGTGTGAATTAGGGCTATTGTAATATACCAATAAGATGCAGATATGGAAGAGAGACAGTTGTCCTATTTTGGAAGAGAGACGGTTATCCTATATTGTCATTACGTCTGTGGTAGGTTTATTTATTTATATATTCTGTCCTTATGTTGAAGTGTGTGTGTGTGTGTGTGTGTGTGTGTGTGTGTGTGTGTATGTATGTAGGTTCCAATTTCTACTTATGTCCACCCCCCTTTCAACCTTGGGAACAAACGAGAGGGTGTCTTTTCATTGTGATACATTTGAGTGGAATGCTGAAGAGATGATCAGAGGGGAGAGTGATCCATGTGGCCTGTACAGACAATGGCTCATATATCTTCATGCACAGGAGCAGAGTGTACTTACGCAGTTGCATATGAGACTTGATCTTCCCCTCTGAGTAGATATTGCAGTTGGTTTGCACAGTGATGGTCATTTGTTGAGGGGAGAGATGTCTGCATCAGCCCCTCCTTGTGGACTCTAAAGAGGTGGTTCTGTTGTCAGGGCCAACAGTGGAAGCCCTGCATGCACAGGCAGGAGTGCGGTGCTGTGTCCACACACAGGCGCAGGGCGTAATATTCTTACCTTCCCAACACATGCACACCATTCCGTGAAGCATTTTCCTGTGCATGCATTCATACCATATCCAGAAAGGCACTTTGCTCATGGGAGTCTCTTCATGCAGAAGGAAGGGGAATGAACGGGATTAAATGTGCAAAACTTGGAGAGAGACTTAATTCTACTCCAAATGAACTTGGAATGAATGCTCCCATAGCTTTCAAGTTGCTTTCTGAGATTATCTGAATCTCAGCCCAAACTGATAGGGCTTCTGAAATTGCATGTACGCTTACTATTGAGAATAATAATTAAAAACAGCCACCACCTTGTTCTTCAGGTCTTATATATATAGGCTTGCCCTGGAATGAAGATCAATCAAAACCCCATCTCTCTGTGCCAGTTCTTCATGTCCTGGAAGTGAACAGGGGAAACAGTGTCTTTTCTGTGGTGGTGCCACAACTCTGGAACACTTTCCTTGTGAAACTCTATCAAGCTTTTTGTGTCTCAGTCACCACTGTTATTTCAATGACCTCTTAATGTACAACATATTCTTTCTGCTGTAATTCATTTAAAGTGTTGGTTTTCTCATATAGGGCTTGCTATATATATATGTGTGTGTGTGTGTGTGTGTGTGTGTGTGTGGCGGCACTCTTAGTGCAGTGGGCACTTTCCTGGTGTGGGGGTCCTGAAAAATGCCCAGCCTTGCCACCCTCTGGAGCTGGTCTTGATATTATATGCTCTTCCTTGTAAAAACTGGCTGTTTGTTGCACTTTTATAGTAATGCTGTATGCATCATCACATTTAGTAGAGGAGCAGATATAAATAGGCTATTTTAGGTAACATGCTCAGTTTCTGAAGGTGCACAATGTTGAATTAATGCCTAGTTGAATTAATACTGTTGGTTTGCATTGGTCTGGTGGTGACTTTCATTCTTTTAACTCTCGCTGCCTCAGCTCAGTAACTTGTGAGAAATGCAAAAAATGAGCATACAACCCTTTTGAAGTACAATAAGAGTCCGAACAAAAACTTTATTTTAATAAACGTGATTGTTTCAGGTGAGGTAGTGCACTCGAGGTTTTCAGAAAAAGAAGAACTTCAGCAAAAACAAAACAAAACAAAAAATGACTTGAGTGACTAAGAAAAATAATGTAGTTAGGGGAAATGTTCTGTTGTTTCTTGGTTAGGTTGTATTGTTGGGCATGTATCTGTCTCTTCTCGTTTGATTTTACTTGTTATAGCTGTGTATAGGGTGAAAAGGAAAAAAGATACAAAAATATTCATTAGATGTCTGAGAAAGTCATTTGAATGTAAAGCATGTTAATGTTGATTCACTTACAGCCTGTCCTTTTGAAAAGTTACAGGTGTGCTGTGAAATTATCTAGTTACAAGGTTCTGTCTTGCTGAGAAGGCATCACTTGCTGGCATTGTTCTTCTGTCCTATTTCCCTCCCTCCCTTGTCTGCTAAATTTTTCATTTAAAGATTTCTTTGATAGGAAAACAGTAAGCTGCCATTTTGAGTCAGACCCATTGGTTCATCTAGCTCAATATTATCTTGATGCTATCTAGGGTTTCAGACAAGAGTCTTTATCCCATTGTTATTCCATTAGTCACACCCTTTCCCGAACATTTCTTCTTTGAATAATAAAGAGAAAACTAATCAAAAATCTGTCAATATCATGTAATAACATTATTGCCATGCTTGCAGAACTTGTGAATCACCAGGCTGAGGACTTCTCACAGGCCATGTGGCCAGCAGACACTTTGTAAGACTCCTGTTTTGGGTGCCTGTTTGGCACCCAAATAAGGTTCTGGCAGGCCACAAAAAATGGCTGGTGGGCAGCAGTCAGCATGCAAATGCACATATCTGTGCATATTTTCGATTGTTCCATCGCTCTAGGGAAATATATATTGTGTTAGAAAATACCTTGGACTTCTGTTGGATTCAACATGCCTTCCAGGTGGCTGGGGCCAATGGGAGTTGTAGTTCAAAACATCTGGTTGGTTGGTGCTTTTTAGGTGTTGGGCTACAACCCATCATTCCCTGATCATTTACTCTGCTTGCTTGGGTTGATGGGAGTGGACAACATCCGAAGGATACCACCCTTGTCTAATCATTCATATGTTTAAGTCAGCTGCATTCTTGACATGGAACAAAGGGCTTCTTGGATGACAATTTTCCAGTGTGATAATGGCAGCACAAAAGTTTTGATGAAGGACTCTATAGCTACAATAGACACAAAATATTGGTACGTATGTGAAAGTTAGGATTGATAAGATCAATTTTTATAGAAATGCAAACATTATATTTACTTTAAAATAGCATTATGTTCTGTTGATAAAATTGTATTAGCCAGTCTGTGTAAATGCTGCATCTTTTAGGTTGTCAGCCTAGGAGAAGACGTCTGGTGAAAGGTACATAGTTTTATGCCTGTTTCCATATAGAGTTACCCCGTTTTTTGTAGAGTAATAAGTTTCTCCATGACATATCTTTTATCTGTGTTAGTCAGTGGTGAGTGTTTATTTTTATGTTGCTACATAGGGAAATGACCTCATTTCACTGTGATTAAAATTTATTTAAGAACGCAGTTGTGAGCTTTTCTTTCCATTGGATATGAATCAAGCACTGCTTTGTTCATAGCTCGTACTTCTCTAAGTTGGCATCTTCTGCAGAATAAATCATTGCGAATTGAAACTACATGTGTAAATGAATCTATCAGGTTTGTGTGTTATAAAGCATTTTCCAGGGTTATACTGTATTTACATGACACTGATGAAATATTCAATGAGCTAGATGCATGATGCATCTAAAACATGAAAAGAACCTTGCCAAAATTTAAAACCAAGGTTTGCAATCTCTTTTACTGGCACTTGAATTGGAAAGATTATGTAGTGCCTGCGTAATGCCATGCTTTGTGACACCTCTTTGTCTAGCAGTCATTGTGTTCCATTTATGTAAGAAAAATAGGAAGTATTCTCCTAGGGTGATCTATGAGCTACCAGAGATAGCTATCAACTTGGATGGCTACAAAAGAGAATTAGACAAATACATGAAGGATAAGGCTATATATAGTCATAGCTATATATGACCTTTTATATTGGAGGCGACATACATGTGACCACTAGTCGCTGGGCAACACAGACAAGAATGGTACTGCTGTGCTGAGGTCCTGCTTATAGGCTTTTCTCATTGGAAGCTGGTTGGCCACTGTGAGAACAGAATTTTGGGTAGGCCTTTGGTCTAACCCAACAGTATAGGTGCAGCAGATTTTAGAAGAGCAGATTGAGCTTGTCTGACCCTTTTCAAATGGAAAAAACTCAGAATGATTCTTCCCATGGTAGTGGTGATGGTTTCTCAAAGATGTTCATGGCCCAAGACTAATGACAACTCAGCCTAGTTGCCTTTGCAACACATGAGAACAATAGTCTATCCATATGACTCTGGTGGGCAGGACTTATTTTCATCTCAATTCCAGCACCTCTCAGGTGGGCACCGTTGCCCTTCTAAGAGAACAAGGGGGAAGTTCATGGTGAGCTCTGGCACCTCTTTTCCTAAAAAAAAATTAGCACTGGTGGTGGGAGTACCTGCAGGTAGGGGGAGATTTTAGGGGGATTAGGTTCTCAAGGAGATCAATACCATAGCTGAGAAAAATGTGATTAATGCACCATATTAATGTGGCTTCCATTGTTTGACTTAAGGTGTGTGTGTAGCATTCAAGGACTTGATTAGGTTCACATTACTTGCTAGCAGGTTTGGGATAACACAACAGTGGAAGAGCAATAGAACTCTTGTTAATGACCTGCGATGCAGTAAACTTTTGGAAAATGCCATTGCAGGGAAGTTTGTGCATCAAACTCATGTAATCAAGACACAAGCAAAACACGCTTACTTTTTATTTGCAGAACGGAGTATTTTATTTTTCATACTAATAAGAATGGCTGTACAATTTTGAAAAAATAATAAATAATGATTCATGTTTCTTAGAGGTTATCATCAGTAAATGTTGTTTATGATGCCTTAAGTTCCTTCGCCTGATGTATCTGATAGCAATGGTGGTCTTCTATTAGAAACATAACCTGGAAGAATATTATGTTAAATAAAAAGAATAAAAAAAAACAACCTGCGAAATGGTGACCAAGATATAACGCTTTTTTGTAGTACGATTGTGTTTTCTGCTTTTGGGTCAGGGCACATTGTAGAATCAAAATAACAGGCAAGTCAAGGTAGAAGACTGCATGTTTCAGGACCTTGTTAATTAAAAAAAAAAGGAGATGAGCCTTCATTGGGTGATAGCGGGGTTGCTAGGACTTCTCACTTTAACCTTCTCCTTACCTTCTTTGGAGTTTGAAGGTCGCCAGTTTTTCTTCTGTGAAATGACTTCTTTGTGGTGCCCTCAACAGTTCCTTAGATTTCCAAATGTGTCTCTGGACCATAAAATGTCGGGCATCCCGAACTTACTGTGTGAGCATTAAAATCTCGCTGTAAAGGATATGGAACTGCTTTTCCCCTTTTACAGAGGCTGCTTGTCTCTCAAGGATGAGAGCAGGTCTGCTTGCAAAGCCAATTTATTGTTGTTCTGACTTTATTCCCATGAGGTATGGAGACTGAGGCTGTATTATATAAAAAAAGTATGTTTGCTTAGAAGTGAACCCCACTGAGTTTAGTGGGATCAAATAACTGTGCTTAGGATTGCTGCCTGAGTGAGACTTGGTACTTGTCACTCTGTTGTTATGGTGAGAAGCCCCATTTATATTTATATTTAGTTATTTAAAATATTATATTATATCCTTACTGCAAGGAGCTCAGGACATCTTACAGAGTCCCGTCCCCCCACTTCGCTCATGTTTTCCTCTGTCAGGTAGGTTAGACTGACAGAGTGACACATATCAATGCTTAAATATGTTCTAATCCCACTCCCATCCCTCAAAATTTAGATGCTCTCGGGGCGCTCGTGGCAGCTATAAATGGAAAAAAGTAGCCTTGAGAATCTTTGCACGTTAAGGAGCAAAGGTTATTTTCATGTGTGGGCTTTCTATTGATTTCCTTCTTATTTATTTATTTCTTGGCCTCCAAAAAGCTGCTGTCGCTGAATTTGCTTTGCAAGACAAGGAATCATTTCTTGCTGTGGAAACTAAATCTGTGATTCTTATTTGGGCCTTCTCCTGGTTTGCTGGAAAAGCTTGTCAGAAACTCCCAGTGTGGAAGGATGCTGTTAGAAGCAGAAACAATAGCGGAGAATGTAGTTTTAACCTTAATTGATTTATTAAATGTGTATACAGTTCTTCGATTTGAAGATCATAGGGTGGTTCACAACATTAAAATACTGTTATGAGCTTAATGAGGGGGAGGAAGACACACACACACCCGATAACAGAGTGTCCCTATTTTCCAGGGACAGTTCTGGATTTACAGAAGCTGTCTCAGTTTCTGATCTGATCCCAGAATGTCCTGCTTTTCCTCAAGACGTCCCTATTTTCCTTGGAGTTATGTGACACCCCCCCCCGAACCAAATAGATAAATAACTATGCAAGCTTTAGAAGACACCAAAAGGCAGTCCTGTATAGGGAAGTTTTTAAATATTGAATGTTTTATTCATTTCTCTATAGTATGTTGGAAGCTGCCCAGATTGGCTGGGGCAACCCAGTCAGATGGGCAGAGTATAAATAATAAAATTATTGTTGTTGTTGTTGAATAGGATGGTCCTATTTTCATCGGATAAATGTTGGAGGGTATGCAAGAATCTCTACATCCAGTGAAGGGTCAGAATTTGAGCAAACTCGTAAATTCATAAATTTAGCAAGGGCTGTGATAACACCAACTAGCTTCCTCATGAAGCCAGCCTGGCGAAGTTTCGCTGGAGGACATGAAAGGCTTATAACGTCTTGGTTTGTTTGATAATGGCCGCCATCGGCCGGGCAGAAGACATGCCGGCATGGAGGAGGAATGGGAAGACATGCACCCTTTTAAACCGAGAAGTCATTTTTCTGCAAGGGCTTCTGGGAAGCAGGAAGAGGAGGAAGTAGGTGGAATTCCATGCAGAGCCTGATGGGCAACAGCTATGCTGTCTGGTTGGCTGGAGCAGGCTGTTGCAGAGAAGACACA